GTCAGACAGCTAACGAGCGTAGGGAGTGCAAGGTGCGCGAGTGGTTTAGTGAGCAGCTCGATTTGTGCAGTAGCAATAAGCATGAGCAGTCAACATGTTGTAATTCCGATCCCCATGGTAGAGCAGGCAGCGAGGCGGAAACAAGCTTCGGCGGTGAGGGCTCTGACTCCGACGGCAGCGAGGCGGCCGCCCCGACCGCCCCTGCCTCTCCTGCCACCCCCCGCGCAGCGCCCCCGTCGAGTCAGGGCGCCACCAGCGGAGAGTTCAGGGTCCCCCGTTTTTCTCGAACTTGTAATTGTTCTGATTCCCGAACAGTTGTGGACAGAACAGAGGAGAGCCGTTGGGTTGATTCCCGCTGCTGCCTCTCCCCCTAGCCCTGCGGCTGCCTCCTCCGCTGCCTCTAGGCTCTGCTCAAGCGATTCGGGCCTCGTGTCAGCCTGGTTTCGGGCGGCTGGAGCTACTGCATGTTCTCATCGCGGTCAGGTTTCCCTCGGCAGATCGCGCGGCGACGCCGCCGAGTTTCTCGAGACACAGGTGCAGGGGGTCAAGCCTGCGAGAGAGGTCGCTCTCAGGGATAAGATTGCAAGTTGGCGGGCGCGCGTCGCTGCTGCGTTGACCACCACGGCGAGATACAGGGACACATATTCGGGCATTAGGCAGCAGTTCCTCATTAGACGCTGTCGGGCGCCTCAAAGAGCAGGCCCCAGAGCGCGGTCGCCAAGTTCTTTGGCCTTATGAGCGTTACTCTTGAGAGTTCTGGCTGCCGTTTCTCGGGCGCACGGCCGTGAGGTCTCTGGCGGAACTTCAGGCCGTGGCTGAGGCGGCTGATCAGGTTGCGCGGCGGGCTCAGCCGCGCGCGCCCATCCAGGCGATGAGCGAGTTCCGCGCGCGGGCGGAGTCCGCCCCAGTTGCGAGTGCCCTCCACAGGGCCATCAGAGAGCAGCCATTGGCCAGCGACACATTGGAAGTCAGTGGTAAGTCAATTGCACACCCCATCGACCACAATAGAGAACATTGGCGTTGGCTGCGAGGTTCGTCAGGCCAGCCGCTGAGCGAGCCAAGCGGGTTGTTTCATGACATTCGGCGGAGAGTTTCGGACGAGGCGGTTCCTCCTCTGGATGGTGTCCTGAGGGAAGCGTTTGATCACGTGATGCGCGGTGCTATGGGCGTGGATCGCCTGACACCGTTGGACGCGCCCCGGCTTCCAGGTCCAGCCCTCGACGAGCTCGCCGCGCTTCTCAATATTTATGAGGCGCGGCAAGTTTGGCCACATCCGCTGTAATTGACTATCGGGGCGTTGCTTCCCAAGAAGCTCCAGGGGGATCGCGCGATGGGACTGCTTCCGCACATCGCGCGGTTGTGGTCAGCAGCTCGCGAGCGGCATGTTCGCACTTGGACAGACCAGCGCGAGGCGCACTGCGATGCTGCCAGTCGTGGCAACTCGGCGAACCGCGAGGCTTTCTTGCGAGCGATCGACAAGGAGTTGTCAGTGAGGTTGTCCACAGAGTTCGGGCACGGGCTGATCGACCTGGCCAGTTTCTACGACACGATCGGTTGGTTGCTGTTGAGTCAGACTGCGCTGCGGCTCGATTTCCCCGCGGAGATCTTGGGGCTGGAGCTGATGCAGTGCATGGCCTCGCGCTGTGCACGGCAGTCTGGCGCCTGTTCAGCGCCTTTCGACCCCGCGAGGTTGATCGCCCAAGGCCCCAGGTCGGGGACGCGCTTCGCCACGTGCGTCACGTACCACAGCATGGCGAAGATAACGACGGTACATGCCGACATGTCGCACAGGCTGTGGATCGACGATTTGAGTCAGAGCTACCGTGCATCACGACGTGTTATGCTTGCGATGATGGTTCAGTGTTTATCTGATACTTGCGAGGCCATCCAGACTGCCGGTTTGCAAGTTCCCCCGAAGAGCGCGATCCTTTTGCACCCGGCTCTGCGACGCCAATTACACGACCTTTGCGACTGAAGGGCTACCACATCAATTCAGCGGGCCAGACGGCGCACCTCGGCGGGGACATGGGCGGCGGCAAGCGGCACGCGAGAGCTACCAGGGCAGCGCGCGCGGCTAAGCACGATCGGATGAGCAAAAAGTGGCGCAGTACTCTCGCGCGACGAGACGGTGCGGCTTGACGAACCGTCTCGAGCAGCAAGGAGTTCAGGCTGCTGGCACATATGGCCATCAGCTCCACGGCTTGTTCGGCCAGCACTTATTGCGAGTGAGACCGAAATTAGAGAACGCAATTGCTCCTAGTTGACAGGGCGATGTTTGACTACTTTGCTCGACCTTCGCGCTCATCAGCGCGACCCTGCTTACAAGATGCCAGTGGAGTGTTTACGCTGATGGCTGACACGCTGGACTTCGGTGCCACAGATTCGGTCAGACATCGCGCAGTCGCGGCAGCAGCTGGCGCAGGAGCTCATAAGCATGGCCCCAGAGCGACGGCGCAGATATATTCGAGGGTCCCAGGGCACGGTCATCACATATCTGCTCGAGGCAGGCTGGGATTCCATCAGTCCGTCAGAGTGGCAGATTCCCTCGGATGACACTGGCATGATCAACAGCTGGGAGTTTCAAGGTTGATAATCTCACGGGCAGCAGCAATATTGATATCCCACAGCAGTTTTTTCTCAGAGTTCACGAGTACCATTCAGAGAACTGTGGTTTGCTGCCTCGTCCCATTTCGATGGAGCAGACATGGAGCAGGGAGTACACAATGCGTCTCGTCGCCAGCTGCTTCGCCAACTGGAGGCCGCCCCAGGCGGTAGGCGGTCGGCGGGACTTTTTACCGGCGTCTGCTGCAGGCGCGTCGTGGCCACGTACACGGAGACAGCAGAGGTCCAAGCGGAGCACCCCAGAATGGTGCACTCGATGCAAAGAGTGAAAAGAGACATCGTTTCATCGAGTTTGGGAGTGCTCAAGTCGCAAGCCCCACGAGATCCACACGCTCTCGGATGACCTCGCGGCCAAGGCACAAGCAGGACGAGAGTCAGAGGAGTGTTTCTGGGTGAAGGGCTTGATCCCAGCACCGTGGCTGTCGGTGCCAGAACCGACCCAGGAGGAGGATCGGACTTGCCATGGTGTCTCAGGCTTCGCAGAGGCATGTTTTCCAGAGGGTTCCGAGGCAGCACCCGCTTTCATTTTCGGCGACGCGAGCGGAGGAGCAGATACGCGGGATGCTGCTCTACGGCGTGTTGGGCTGGCGGCGGCTGCGTATCCGGACTTGGCCAGCGACATGACGATCGAGATCGGCGTTTGGGGCGGGCCCCCAGGAGCTACCCAGACCGTGGCGCGAGGCGAGCTGTACGCCTTGCACCTCGCGGTGCGAGGAGTATGTGGGGCACGTCGTCTTCGTCACCGACAACGCTGCAGTTTGTTCAGGCTGGTATAACAGCCACCCTCTCGCCCCAGCTGGTGAAAACGCTGATCCCTGGTTCCCCAGAGGCTCCGTCTTGAAAGCACGAGGCTCTCGTTTGTCAATAACTGTTCTCTTTCTGCACTCTCATCAGGAGGCAATAGATATGTGTAACAGTAGGACCCCAGTCCCACTCATCCTTGGCAATGCCGTGGCCGACGAATGAACTGGAATAGCTGCGAGCACAGTGCGAGTGGAGCCCAGTGTACGCGCATCGATGTATCGCACCGAGCGCATGCCATACCTTGTGAGAATGAGAATGTTGTTGGGCACGTTGGAAGCAATTGAGGCCGAGAAAGATCAGGGCCCGAGGCCCCGTCTGAGGCACCCAGGTCCGCGCCCTCCTGCTCCAATGATGTGTAGTATGTTTCGGTCTCAGCATCAGTTTAGTGAGTCAGGCCTTAGTTGTGAATGTTGCAAGGGGTCGACCTCACAGGCCCAGAAGAAGGCATGGCTGGGCTCTCCACGTTTCCACCTTTCCACGGGCGATGGTGCAGTTTGGGAACCCCCTCCAGGGCAGCGGGTGCACGTGGGGGGAGGAATCTGCCCATTCTTCTCACCGTCTTAAATATCATGCTGGACTGGCGGTTTGGTTTTGCACTATCGGTGGACGCTTTGCTGCCGAACGGCTAGCTAAGTTATCCATGGAGTGCGATCCGAACTGTAGTCGCCAAGACAACTTAATATAATGCAGCAGGGTTTATGGCCCAAGCAATGGATCAAAACTGAGCGAGCCAAGCGTGCCGCTGCGGGTAAGCCCGTTTAAGTTTGCTGATTGGGGTATCGATTAGTAACCGACGCAGTCGCAATATTCTTAACTCCGTAACTCGTCCTCCTCCTCCTCCTCCTCCTCCTCCTCCTCCTCCTCCTCCTCCTCCTCCTCCTCCTCCTCCTCCTCCTCCTCCTCCTCCTCCTCCTCCTCTCATTCCCGCTCCTCCTCCTCCTCCTGAACGACCATCGTCGTTGTCGTGTTTCCAGTCGGCGGCTAGCCCTGGGGGGAAGTGAGAAGGGGCGGGCCTTCTCAGAAGGCTCCGAAGTCCCCCGGCCTCCTGAAGAGCTTCCTCAGCTTTCCGCGGCGACACAGACCAGGTTTCAGCAGGCATGAGGGTTTCTGGGAAGTCCCGCCGCTTTCTGAGAAGGCCTTCTCTTTTTCAATTCCCCCCATCGCTCGCCGTCGGTCCAGGATCGGGAGCAGTCGGACTTGTTCGTTGGTTCTTGTGGGTTTTCCTGCCTCGGGATGCGTTCCGGCGTTTGCGACTCTCCGAAGACGCTTCGGGGGTTCCCGGATCGTCCCGAACGGCCGCTTGAGCCCCGAATTTTGGTCCTAGACCCAGCAGGCGCCTACACCGCCACTCGTCCGGCGTCGTCGACCTTCGTCATCGTCCGTCATCCGTCGACGTCGGATCGAAGTTTTGGGCGCCTTGGATGTTGTCTTGGCCTGCTGGGTTGGAAGGGGACGGGAGCCTCGGGACGGGGCGTGAGACCTGCGGGGGCCGCCGTCGTCGTCGTCTGCCGTCCTCTCCGAGGTCATCGTCGTCGTCGTTGTCTTCGTCGGAGTGCCCCCCGCCTGGCGGCCAGGCCTTGGCGCGCATCCCCGGCGGCAAGTTCGAGAAGGCCAAGGACATCACGATGCCGGCGCCCCCCGAGGATCGGGCGGCTGGCCGGCGCCGCCCCCAGGCTCCTCCTCCCGCCTCCATCAGAAGTCCCCCTGAGGGCCAGGATGCGGCTCTCATCAGGGGCACTGTTACGGGGGGGGATGGACGCATCGACCCCTGGTCGCCCACTCTTCGCCGATCCGGGCCCGATGGTGCACCCGCCCAGGAGCGTCGGAGGTTGTCAGACCTCCTACCCTGACACGTCGATTAAGGAATTGGCCGTTTTCGGTTCGCGAGAGGGCATCGCGGCCGTCGTCTTTGCAGGTACAGGTCAGTCGGTTTCGGTCCCAGGCCGTTTGCACTAAGGGGAGGTTTACGAAAGGGAGGTTTGTCCGCCGCCGAGAGTGTCTAGATTTGCTGGTGGGGGCCTCTATCGACGGTGCGTCGGCGAATCCCCTGAGCTGGTCCCCTCCAGCGTTGCCCCTGCATCTCAAGGAGCAGCTGGCCCGCAGGGGAGGGCACCGGCTCGCGGTCCGACCTCTGCGCGCGCTCTTCGGAACGTGTGCTTGCTACGATCAGAAGCCGTTGGCCACAGCTTCGAGGCGGATATCCGGCCGTGGCGATGAGCCCTCTCCCACCCCGGGGATCAACAGAACGGAACACTACAAAATCAATGTTCGTCTCCATCTTCCTCCCGCCTGTATCTTCCTCCTCTTTGTCCCCCTCCAGCGACGACGACGCCGCCACCGCCCCGAGGACGGGCTGACCGACGCCCAGGTTGCCCTGTCGCTGTTCGTTGCGCTCCTCCTGATGTTCGCCAACATCAAAGTCCCCTCGCATCCCGGCGCACTGCCTAACCTGGGACTCACACATGTTCGCCGTTTTGCGCACCGATCGTCCAGAACCTCGTGACGCAGTGAATTTGGATGTATTTGGGCCCCCGGGGCCCAACGATATTCATATCCACTGCCTCCCAGTGTCCCAGGACATCGTTTCCCAAAGTGGTAGACATTTATCATCCCCAGCTTCGTAGTCATCGTGTGCTTCCTCATCCTCCCGCTTATCTGGCATTCGGTGGGTCCCCTCGTCGCCACGGCCGGACGAGGCTCGACAAGCGGGTCAGCGTGGGCCACGCAGGGTTCCATCCGCACGAGGGCCGTACCCAAATAGGCGCGGGCCAGGCGGGGGGGAAGGAGGCGGGAAGGAGCCGAGGAGGCGCGCAGTGTTGCGGATTCATTGCAAGCACCTTCCAAAGCAAGAGGGTTGGGGAATCATTCTGGGTCCAACGCCAGCCTTGGGGGTCGACAGTCCTAGGGGCCCACATCACCAAAAAGACGAGGGCATCGAAGTTTGAGCCGCCACCTCCCCATCTGGGAGAACAGATAGACAGAGGAGAGCCTGAGAAGGCTTGGGGGAGTACGAGAGAGGTCTTCGGGATTTTGAAGGGAGGGTTGGGGATCCTTGGAGTTCTGGGGGGTCCTCCCCCTTTTCTTGCTCCATTGTCCTCATCCTCCACCTCCCTTCCTGCGTCAATCATCCTCCTGATCCTCCTCATCCTCCTCCCCCTCGTTCTCCTGCTCCTGCCCCTCGATCTCCGCCTTCTCATTATGTACCCCCCTGCCGCGCTCCTCCCCCTCCCCCTCCTCATCCTCCCTCATCCTTGTGCTCCTCCTCCCCGTTCGCCCGTACGCCCCCTGTTTCTCCCCCATCCCTTAATTCCTGAGGCCCCATGGAATGCAGCTCCCCCCTCGGAGGAGGGGAACGACGACGACGACGACGACGACGAAGAGGAGCGTATACGCGAGGAAGAGGACGATGAAGACGACGAAAGAGGAGGCAGACATGGAGCTCGATTAGGACAAGGTATGAAGGAGGGAGGGATGAAAGGCGTGATGAGGATTTGGATGCAGCGATGGAGGGCGAGGAGGATGAGGGAGGAGGAGGAGGAGGAGGAGCGGAAGAGGTTGGAGGCGGAGCAGGAGGTGGAGGTGGAAGAGCGAACGGGGGGGAAGTTGAGGAGAGGTCAGCGGAGAGGGAGTAGCGAAGAAGAGAAGACAGGAAAAGTAAAGAGGAGGGGAGGAAGGGACAGGGGAAGACGGAGATAGAGAGAAAGAGAGACAGAGAGAGAAGCACACAAAACAAGCCAAAAACAAAAAAAACGCAAAGAGGGAGGGGGGGTTGGGACGAGGTGGAGGAGGTGTTGCAGACACAGGGGGGGGGGGGGGGCTTTTTGGGGCCACTCCTCCATATTCCTCCCTCCTGCTGCTCCACTTCACCCTCACTCCTCCCACTGTATGTGGATTCTTACTGGAGCTCCCTAGAGCTCCTCGGAGGCCATTGAAAGTCATCGGAGGCCTTCGCAGGTCCAGAAAGCACAACTGCACTCCTAAAGCACAAAGATATGCAGTTCTTCCTCCCCACCCGCCTCTGCCTGGCTCCAGGGGGCTTTATGCCCTGCCGATTTGCGGTGTTCTTCCTCCCCCTCCTGCTTGCACGCGCTGACAATAGTGATGCACATGCACTGCGGGGCCCTGGACCAGGAAGAGGCCGCACGGCAAAGTGATCGGCAAGCAAGGAGAGAGGCAGTGTTGAGGTATTTATTGGATCAATGTTGTACATATTCGCATTCTCGGCCTCGTCCTCGTTCTCCTCGTCCTCGTCCGCTTCCTGGACTGTTTAGTCGACTTGACGCCGGCGTGCCTTGTCTGATTGGAGGTTCTTATGATCTGCAACCGATGTGTCGCTGAGGCGTTTTTGTCTGTTTGCCTCCTCATCCTTCCTCCTGCTGGGGTGAGGAGGATGCCCAGCTGCTCTGGGGAAGGTTCTGGCCTCCCGCGAAGGTCTCTCAGGCGCTCTGGGAGGGGCCCAGGGTGGACCGCTTCAGGGACGGCTGGGGCTAGGGCAACATCCTTGCCCCTCCCCGAGGAGGAGGGGTTGGATGAGGAGGAGGAGGAGGAGGAGGAGGAGGAGGAGGAGCGGGAGGTCGAGGAGGAGGAAAACATAATGAAGGAGGAGGAGGAGAAGGAGGAGGAGGAGGAGGAGGAGTAAGAGAGATGAGATTGGGGAAACCAAAAGTACCGATACTGCTAGTCTCCCCAGGACGGCCAGACCAAGGGCTACATCACCCCGCTCGTGAGGCGCCTTGACAGGTTCGGGTACTGATCACGCGGCTTGGCGTGGCTCCGTCTCGGTTTCCTCCAGCCAGGAGGAGGAGGGAGGGAGGGAGGGCTGTGGAGGGAGAGCAAAAACAGCGACAGCAGCCGCACCGACCATACGTCATGTTGCTCTGCCAAATCGTGGGAAGTTCAGCCGAGGAGGCTAATAGGGCCAACAGGAGGAGGAGGAGGAGGAGGAGGAGGAGGAGGAGGACCGTAGATACGCCAACGGCGATATAGGTCACGGCGATGCAGGTTGCGGTATTGTAAGCGGGATTATCTCGTGGCCAGCCAAATGTTAGGAAAGCGTGGTTCGTGGTGTTCTACAATTCATTGTGGCATTGTGGCGGTGGTGCTCGATACATTTGCGCATTTGAAACGTAGGAGAGTGTGGTTCGCGATATCCTACAAGTCGTTCTGCGCGAGGTCGTCGTCGCAAAAAAACAGATTCCCCAACACAGCCGTTAGCGTTGCCTTGGGAGGAGGAGGAGGATGAGGAAATGGAGGAGGGAGGGAGGGGCGAGAGTAAACCCAAGATGCACCAGCGATGCTGCAGTACCCACTGTATCGTTCGGACGTGTGCATGTGTTTTTTTCCACGGCGAGGACCATCGAGAAGCAGGTTGACCATTTTGCGAAAACATATTGGCATGAAACCAGAACATGCACGGGGAATGTAATGCCATATACCGTAAGGCAGTGAAGTGTGATGTGATGTAATGCATTGTAATGTGATGTAACGGATGTAACGCAATAGAGTAATGTAATGTGATGTGGTGGAATGTATTGTGTGTATGTGTGTATATGCACACCCAACTTCGGAAGGAAATATGCAGTCCAAAAACACAGCCCCGAACCCCCAATCTTCGCATAATCCCCCCTGGGGCTACCCAGGCCGGTTCCTCCAGGAGGCTCACGAGGCGCCCAGAACACCCCAAGCGAGCTCAAAGAGGCCCCTAAGAGAGTTCCAAGAGGTCAACATCTTCTAAATTCCTTGGGACGGTTGAGCACATGAGCAACTTTTATTCTCACAGCCGCAACGGCGGCCCAAGAGCCCGCTAAGATTGCCAGATGCGGCCTACGAGGCCCCCACGGCGGCCCAAGAGAGGCTCACGACGGCCTGCGAGGCGCTCAAGACGGCACCAAGAGAGGCTTCAAAAGGGGGATTCGATTTCATAGTTCGAGCCCTCCGCTCCAAGAGTGCTCCCGAGACCGCCGCCAGCAGGCCCCCACGAGGGCGCCAGACGGCCCCTCAGGGGCCCCAAGGGGCGTCGAATTCGTTTTCAAGAGTCTCCCCAGAGGCTTCGTGTCATCGTCATCGTCGTCAGCATCGTCAGCATCATCACCACCAGCAGCATCATCATCATCAGCATCATCAGCATCATCATCGTCGTCAGCCGCAGCAGCATCAGAATCGTCGTCGTCGTTTTCAGCAGCATGCTCGCCATCATCACGACCTATATCATCATCACAGTCACCATCGTCATCAGCATCAGCATCATCATCATCACCATCACCATCATCGTCATCACCACCACATATCAGCATCGCAATCATCACGACCACCACCGCCATCATCACTATCATCATAATAGTCATCGTCAACCCCGTCATCATAACCATCATGAGCATCACAATCATCATCATCATCATCATCATCATCATCATCAGCATCATCATTCTCATTATCAGCATCAGCATCATCATCGTAATCGGCATCATCATCATCTTCAGCAGCAGCATCCTCAGAATAGTCGTCGTCGTTATCAGCAGCATCGTCGTCGTCATCATCACCACCAATCTCATCATCACACTCATCATCATCAGCATCATCAGCAGCAGTAGAAGAATCACCATCCTCGTCACCACCACCACGTAATCATCATCATCATCATCATCATCATCATCATCATCATCATCACCATCGTCACGACCACCGCCACCATCATCACCATCATCATAAGATTAATCCCCATCCTCATTATCATCATCAGCAGCATCACAATCATCAGCATCATCATCCTCATCCTCATCCTCCTCTTCAGCAGCAGCAAAATAATCGTCGCCGTCGTTCTCAGCAGCATCGTCGTCGTTATCATCACCACCAGTATCAGAATCACAATCATACTCATCAGCAGCATCAGCATCATCATCATAACCATCGCCATCACCACCATCATAAGATTCATCATCACGACCACCACCACGATTATCACCACCATCATCAGATTCATCATCATCCCATCCTCATTCCCATCTTCATCATCAGCAGCATCACAATCATGAACATCATCAGCCTTATCATCTTCATCACCATCGTAGTGTCCATTGTCATCATTACCATTGTCATCATCATCGCCTTCATCGTCAACTTGATAATCATCATCGTCATCTTCATCGTTATCGCAATCGTCATCGGCATCAGCATCGGCAGCGTCATCACCATCATCGTCACCATCAGCGTTCCCATCGACGTCAGCCTCCGCATACTCCCTCTCCTCTTCCACCTCCACATAACCCGAATCATCGAAACATCTAAACTTACGAACATATTCATAAGAAGCACATTCACCTTCGCCGTCGCCATCATCACAACTATCCCGCCTCCCTTCTGCATCGTCCCTTCCTTGCCCTGTCGTTTGTTCCCCATTATTCCCGCTCGCATGTTATTATGTCCCCCTCTCCCGTTCGTTTCTCTCCCTTTCCATCCCTCCACCGTCCCTCGCCTCTGAAGAGTAGGAGGCGGAGAACATGACGCGGGACCCCTATGTGTTGCAACGCTTTCCTTCCCTGCGCTAGAACCTCAGAGTGCGCGAAGCGCGCGCGCGTGGTTCTAGTGTGTGTGTATATGCATATCTACATTCACACATACCGGGACACTGGGGGGCCCAAAGACCGAGGCGGGGACACCTTCTCCGATTCTCCCCCTTGTCGCCCCTCGACATTATTGATACCTTCCGGGGCCTCCCGGGCCTCCTCCCCGCCGTTGAAAGCTAGTCTGGAGGCCAGCAAGAAGTTGTTCGAGCGGCATTACAGGGCCGACTGCGCCGGAATATTGTTTCAAAGCGGCTCAAGAGGCCCCGAAGATGCGTCCCGAGAGGGCCCCAGGAGGCCAAAATTGTTTCAGTCC